ACCACGGTCTCCCGGACCTGGTCCCTGGTCCGGACCAGAGCAGGACCAACATCTGCTGCAGCGATCCAAGGGAAGAGGACCGCAGCGGCGCCTGCAGCCGAGCTAAATGGATGAGGCTATTCGGAGACGGCCAAGTGACGCGATCATAATTTGATGGGTGAAGACCAGCTCGGTTCGCCATGAAATTTGGCTGGCCGAGATTTGATGGGTCCAAGTCGTGATTCATACCGTCGCGTTTGGGCTGCGAGTGGCGCTCGGCAGCTATCTGGACTGCAGGCGCGCCTGAGGCGCTGTTACCATTAGCCAATGAGGCTCATATAGCGGGCATTTTACGGCAGAGGCGATGCTCCATTTGCACTTGTCAGAGGGTGAAAGTGACATGAGTGGGACATAAATTAGCGGACCGGATGGGGCAGTGAGGGTGATGGACGGACTGAACTCGGTGGTCCGGTCCCGACAGCAACAGGTCAACTGCACAGCGCGCCCATTATTTTTGCAATAGAAGGCTAATTTGGACTAAACTTTTCAACTTAACCTGGTTATTTATTCATGCGTCCTTTTTGTACATAGGTTTATTGAAGAGCATGTACTGTCCATTCATTTAGTAAGCTCAAGGCTATGTAAACCAGTAAGCTATATCTCGTGGACGTCATTATGCGTACCTACACCTACAGCAGTTCAAAATGTGGATAAACGACTATGATTTGTCGTTGATTGTTCGCATGCTTGCAGGTCGGCTCTTAGGACAATATATTGTATGCCTGTATGTATGTCCGTCATCCATTTATGTCTCCTTTCAAATCAATCGTCGCTAGCCCGAGTCGGACTGAGCAGTGAGCCGTCTCTGTACAGGCTGACGCACCTTTATGTTCAGCACACATACATCAGCTGGGGCGTGCCGGAGCGGAACCGTGCCGTCTGTCGCGGGGCGTCGCCGATTGAAACGAACGAGCCGGCCGGCCGACTGTGCTGTAGGCGCATTATCGCCGCGCGATCAATGAGATTGATACCTCGGCCGGCCGGCGCGCCGCGCCCCAGTCCCGACACGCTGACGTATGGCCGGAAACCTTTTTGCATGACTTCTCTCCGCGGCCAGTCTGTGGTAATGGATTGGGGCAGTATATACGAATAAAGGAAAATGTTTGCTGCATAACAGTGAGGAAGCTAGACGTAGTCCTCTGGGACTAAGCGATTCGGATGAAAGCGGATGGAATGCACATTCTCTTGAGCTGACATGTGATCAAGGGAATTGACAGGTGAAACATGTCAATAACAGAGTCATCGCTCAGGTTCATACAGCAGCAGAATATCACCATTCAAGAAATATGCTCATAAATTCAAGTTCGGGATTCAACCAACCACACATTCGGGACCTTCAGGGGTTTCCACTGACGTCTTGAGGCAGCCAGCCGCCAGCTCAGAGTCCGTCTCGCGACACTTGGAGGAAAGTGAGGAGTGATACATATTCAGTCGAACACTGTTATTGAACGTAGCAGGTTTGTATATCATTTAGGCAAAAGTAAATTTAGAATATCTACATCTGACGAAAATTTGGAAGTTCCAATTGAAAATAAGATTTGACCTGTTTTCGATGTAGTATGTATATCATTGAAGATATTTGCGACATCTTTGAAATTGTATTGGTCTTGAGGTGATTTGATCACACTGCACGGTTGCCGTTCACGCCTGTTGTGTCGCAGCTGTTGTTTTATTCATCCTGTTTTGGCGGCCTGTCCCCACCGGCAGCCCGTATGTTAATTCGCCTATTCGCCATTGATTGTGGCGCTTCCCGCCCTTGGTCGCTCAATTGGCGCATGTAAATAGCAGCTGACTGGCGAATGGTTGCGCGGAGGTGCGAACTACCTCCACGTCCTACGATTAGACGCGTAATCACCTTTTGCGTCTAATTATGTGGCTTTCGTGGCTTCCGTAATCCGCTTAAGAAAGGTATTTCAATGCTTTGGTGACAAAGGGAGCCGTATAACGATGCCGTCAGTGAGTACGACGCACCTTCTTATTTAGATTGCGTTCGACAGTTTTTCCAGAGCTGTCGAATGTCGTTAGAATTTTGACAATCAGATCAGTAGTTTCGGAGATAGGAAAGCTGGCTCTGTAGAGCCCTCCCCCCTCCCGTCCAGTCACTTGTGTTACGGGGGGCACCCAAATAATGTGCCAGATGAAGTATTCTATATGGTTCTGCACTTGAAAAAATGACTTGTAACAACAACTGAGAAGTGACCACCATGAAAGGCTTGACGGACTTCCGTTTTGCCTGCTAATAGCCCCATCGGTCATGCGATGAGCTGGTGGAAAGACATTAGAATATCCTGTCTGGCGCCGTGAATCGCTCCGATCGCTTAGACTGCTCATACAATTCAGATTGAGTTTCTCGATAACTCTTCCCGTATCGGAGCCGGAGCTCGACGCCTAAATCTGTCGAGATGGATGGCATCGGCGCCGCACACCGACCCTGACCGCGGCGCGGTCAGGCCAGACCAACGGTCACGGCGCGGCGGTCAGGGCAGACCAACAGTCAGAGCGCGGTGGTCAGGCCAGACCAACGGTCACGGCGCGGCGGTGCCGGTCAGGGCAGACCAACGGTCAGGGCGTGGCGGTCAGGGCAGACCAACAGTCAGAGCGCGGCGGTCAGGCCAGACCAACGGTCAGGGCGCGGCGGTGCCGGTCAGGGCAGACCAACGGTCACGGCGCGGCGGTGCCGGTCAGGACAGACCAACAGTCAGGGCGCGGCGGTCAGGGCAGACTATCACTCGATTACAATCGACAGACTCAGAATACTGACAGGCTGAGAGCGCGGGTGCACCTGTCGCCGGCCGACTGGTGTGCTAGTCGAAACCGAACCACCGGCTCTGAACGGACCGTGACGTACGCGCCAGGTGGCTGTAGCATTGGTAGAGTCACCAAAAATACCAGACCAAGGGCGGGTCCAGGGGGGCTATAGAGGCCATGCCCTCCCCCCTTTGGCTATGAAAGGGGGGCCAACATATCTTTTGCCCCCCCCCCTTTCATCCGTGCTGTTTCTAACAGCCGGCTAATTTTTCAGAATTATTTTCACCATTTCCATCGACGCTAAGGCCGAACATTAACTTTTTTGTTATTAATATGAACAGGGATTTACGCACGCACATAATTTGGCGTGCTAGCAACCAGCTTATGCAGCATAAGCACACTGCACACTGCACAGACATCTTGATTTTCGACTATGCCCGTTTGGCTGTAACTGCAGGGCGCCGAGGCTGGCCGCCGGATTCCATTAGTCTATGTCCTGCTGGAAGGTAGCCCAAAGATCCTCACTCAGGATTAGGGTCCGGATGGTAGCCGGTCATATTTCTTCAGAACTCCGGCCCATACCTCCCGGTGTATTGACGGATCGAAAAGTCACATGATTTATTGAAAGTTATAGACAAAATAGTTGCTCCCAGATGCCTAATATCAGGCACACGTTGCAGGCGAAAGTCAATTTCACGTACACATGCAGCAAAGAACCATGTCCGGTGCTAGCTTGTAGTTAGAAACATGCACTTTCGGTCAGATATCAGCGCAGCAGCTGATGGCTCAGGAGGGGGATAGCCGACCCGGCCCCACCGACAGCTCGCAGACTTGGGCACTGGAAATTCACGGCCGGTGTGCGCAAAATACTAGGGTTGACTATTAAGTAATGGAAGTGCCTTTAGCAATTAAAAGTTTTTGCACGTGCACACGTTATTTTGGTGCCATCACGTGCGCCGATGTTTTTTCTATCCAATGGTGAAGACCAGGTGTCTTTAGCTACATTTTTTTCTGAGCTATCGACGTTTTCCCAAGAGACCACCCAAACCTGCGTCGCACGACGAAAAAGGAGCCTGGCAATGGCCAAAATCGCGCACCAGCGCGAGGTCATTAGATCTCAGTTTGTGGTAGGGTAAAGGCCTGCTGAGATCAGGAAATTTATTTTAGAAGTGTATGGAGCGACGGTATCAGGTGCGCCGGGCAACAGGTGCGACGGGCGGTGTGCCGCGTGCTCGCGCAGATCAGCGAAGATGGCCTCCTGGCGGCGTTCCAGGACTGGGTCAAGAGGCTGGAACGGTGTGTGATGCTAGGAGGCGATTATGTGGAGTAGTGGTGCTGTTATTTATTGTGTTATATGTAATGTTTTTATGAAAATATAGCAACTTACATTATTTTATTCGTGTAGCCATAACACTTGGCCACTGAGCAATGGTGATCTCGCCCTGGCGCACGATTTTGGCCATTGCCAGGCTCCTTTTTTGTCGTGCGCCGCAGGTTTGGGTAGTCTCTTGGAAAAACGTCGATAGCTCAGAGTAAAATGTAGCTAAAGACACCTGGTCTTCACTATTGGATAGAAAAAAGATCGGCGCACGTGATGACACCCAAAAAATATGTGCACGTGCAAAAACTTTTAATTGCTAGAGGCACTTCCATTACTTAATAGTCAACCCTAGTATGTTTATCAGATTGCAATGCGTACACACAAGCCTGGGAGCAGAGCAGCATGCCATTTTTAGACATTGCCATTTAATGATGCATGTCATAGAAACTATAGTAGCTTTGCCAGCCAGTATGGTTATTGGTTTGTACTAGCAAAGGGTCATAATCAGAGTGACATTTACTTGCTTCGGAGGTTAAGTGGCTCATCACCAAAAGATCAAGTTTTTAAACAAATGGGCGGGCAAATGTCCTGCGAAAGCCCATGTCACAAATACCTAACGCTCCTTTCCGAGCGACTTCAATATAAATTGGGCGTTCACGAGCTCTTGATCAGTCTCATTCGGACAGCCATAACCGGCACGACTGCAATGGCGACCGCGTCATTTTTCCTTACCGCGTCGGAAGCGCTGCTGCTCATGACCCCGGCGACGGCAAGGTCTGTAAGCAACACCGTCTTCGAAATCATGGACCTGATCTCCGCCCAATGCCGCACCGCCATCGACGACTGAGACGCAGCGATTAGGATTCAAGCTGCCCAGGAAGAGCTCAGAGGGATGGTGAGCTCCCTACAGCAGCAGCTCACTCACGGGCCAGAGGAGTGTCCCGGAGGCTGGACGCGCCACCTGGACACCTGCTACCTGGTCACGGCGACCAATTCGAGCTGGTACGAGGCGCAGTATCAGTGCGGGACGCTGCACCGTCGCGCGCAGCTGGCCATCGTGCCGCCGTCGGCCGGTGAGCTGACCGAGCGGATGGTGACCGACACGGTCAGCGGCACCCGCGGAGCCTGGATCGGCATGACGCGTCTGCAGGAGTCGGACGACACGTTCGGCTGGATCGACGGCACGCAGCCCGTGGCCACGCGCTTCAGCCCCAACGAGCCCAACGGCGACGGCGACTGCGTGCACATCTGGGGCCCGGAGCCGGGCTGGACCACCGAAGGCGGCGTGGCGCACGGCTGGAACGACCTGCCCTGCCACTACGGCCTGAACATTCTCTGCGAGATTCAGCTGAAGTAAACTGTCAGCGGCATAAATTTGCATCATGCATGTATGATTGTCGATGCTCATACAAATATGTTTTTGGCTAATGTCAGCAACTACAAACAGCAGGTTTTGAAACATCGATGGCAAACAATAAACACCCATACCCCATAGCCTCACAATTAATGCATCAACAACCTCGCAGAACATCGCGTAGGAAGCTGTTTATTGCCTCAGGGGGCCGATTAAAGGTCGACGTCTAACCATGCACATGTGGCTAGGCACTAGGCACGTAAACATCATCAAACTAGGCACGTTAACACCAAGTTTAATAAAAGATGGGGACAAAAGCGCCACTATACTCCCGCTTCTTTTTTAAGGGCTTGGATAGCCCTCGACCGCAAACATTTGACCCATGAAGCGGTCGGCGCGTCTAGAGTTGTCATTGCCGGCCGTCGGTAAACCCAACATACCCAGCCCATGTCAGGCTCCCCGACTGTGGCGACTGCTGACTATATATACCGATGACGTCACGGCCGGTCTGGCGTCCTGGAAAGGGCTTGCAACCGTCTGAGGGTCTCCAGTATAAACTGAGCGTGCGGCCACTGCGGGTCCGTCTGCCGGAGCCGTCCGAGATCAGATCTGATCGACATGGTGTCCAGGTCCCTCCTCTTCACCGCGGCGGCGCTGCTACTGGTGTCACCGACAACGGCAGCTCCCCCGATCGCCACCCTGCAGGATGTCATCAACAGGCTCACCGCCTCGTGCCAGGAGAGTGTCGGCGTCCTGGACTCGTTCCAGACCATCATCAGCGGCCAGGACATGCTGAAGGACATGCTGACGGCGCTGCAGCAGAAGGTGACGCCCGCGCCGGCCGTCTGTCCGGACGGCTGGACGCGCCACCTGGACAGCTGCTACGTCATCCCGCCGGCCAAGTCGGCCTGGCACGGGGCGCAACACCACTGCGCGGCGCTGGACCGGCGCGCGCGGCTCGCCTCCGTGCCGCGCGAGGCCATGGACTTTGTCAGGGAGCTGGTGGCGGCCAGCCCGGCCGACGGCGTCTGGCTCGGTCTGCTGAAGCTGGCCTCCGATCACTGGGTGTGGATGGACGGCTCGCGCGCTGTGCTCACCGCCGGTGACTTCAGCCAGGGCGAGCCGAGCGGCGACGGTCCCTGCGGTCACCTGTTCGGGCCCGGTGATAGTCTTCAGAGAACGGGACTCAACGACAGGGTCTGTGATTTCAAACTGCACTACCTCTGTCAGATCGAGCTCAATTAGTGCAGCGCTAGAATGTGCGATGTCAAATTATGTGTTTTCATGCAAAATAAAGCGATATCCGCTTCGAACTACTTTCAGCGAGTCAGCTATGAACCCACGCCAAACCAAATGGAAAAATGTCACTGTGAAGTAACTTTAAGTTCAAAATTCACACCAACTCGAGTACTCAAGCGTTTTCGGAATGTCAGGAATGAAGTCTTTTGTAGAACTAAAAGCCGAGTAGGTAGGTATGTTTTGGCGATTGTCAATTGGGTAAAAGTGATGTGCAAATAAAACACGTTGCACACGGGCTGCGGCTCGCACGTGATAAGCGCTTCATTTATCTTAAAAATATACTTAATATATGTACTTCATATCCAATTGATCCTTCCATTGACATTGGACATACTCGAAGGTAAACATATCTCAAGTCTTTGTAAAAACTATGAGTTGTTTTAACGGGATAAGACAATTTCTTCCGAATCAATGGTCGCTATTCATCGAAAATCGTCGATAATTTTCCGAAACATATTTGAAACTACGTAGCAGGCATCATTGTATTGTTAACTTGACCCTTTACCCAGCCGTTCGACAACTTTAATTAGCGCTTTCAGGCTCTCTGCGTTCCGATCCCTAACCTATGAGCGACATGGCACACGTAGGCGAACGGTTTCGGTACGTACATACCATCACTTATAGCCTTACATTATATTCAAGCGCAGACCGTTAGGACGTCGTTCCAGGAAGAATCTTGGTTCCAGGGAGAGCCGCCGTCCTGCGCATTGGATGTGACGGCTCAGTTTGGGCTTATGATGCCCTTCATGACATAAATTAGTCCAATTTGATCGAATTATTGCAGGCTGGGTCTAATAGCCTTAATTGGAGCCTGAAGGCATAGGTATATGTATAGCGTCTCATGCAGTGCTAGGTCCCCCCCCCCCCAAAAAAAAAAAAAAACTAATAATAGGCATTCTGGAAGCCGTATGTTCCGCGAAATGCTTTAGAAAAACGAGGACGTCGATAAACTGCGACTTTTGTACCGTGCTGGCTGCAAATGTCCTTAGGCCTCTGACGGTCGACCTGTGACATCATATAATGACTGTCGATAATATCAGGGACCCAGCCTAACTCGGAAATGAAGCAGCAACAGGATCTGAATTAAATGAAACAACAAATTCTAGCATTCTATCGGGTACGGAAGAATCGCGAAATAAAGGGGCCGGCAGGGCTGAATACCAAGCCCGTTCGTCCGAAAGAAGGGAAATCCGAGGCGATCAGGGAGCTGGACACTGGACAGCCAGCGACCTAACTATAGTCATAGTAGCGCTCTGAGGTTTTCTTGTTAGCTGCAAAGCTGCCGTGAGCCTCAAGCTGTCTCAGGGTCTGTTTACTAATGACAGTCGTCGACCAAAGATGGTAGGTACTGTCGACGAAAGATGCAAGGAGTGGGGTGCGAGGCAGCGGAGGGGGTTGTCGTGCCGCCCGCGCAGCAGACTCTGACTTCGATCGGAAGGCACTACAGCAGCAGCTCACTCACGAGCCAGAGAAGTGTCCCAGCGGCTGGACGCGCCACCTGAACAGCTGTTACATTGTCCCACAGACAAAGTCAAGCTGGTATGCCGCGCAGTACCACTGCGCGGCGCTGGACCGGCGAGCGCGGCTGGCCACGGTGGCTCCGTCGGCGGGCGACTTCACGGAGGAGCTGGTGGCCAAAGCCGTCAGCGGCTCCCGCGGCGCCTGGATCGGTTTGTCGCGTTTGGAGCCGGACGACGCGTTCGGTTGGGTGGACGGCACGCGGCCGGTGGTCAGGCGCTGGAGTCGGGACTGTGGTGACGGCGACTGCGTGCACATCTGGGGTCCGGAGGGCCACTGGACCACCGACGGCACGGTGCGACACGGCTGGAACGACGCGCCCTGTCACACCGATAACCATATCCTGTGCCAGATAGAACTGAATACATTGTGCTCCACATAATATTACTGTGCATTGCTGATCATGTAAATATACAGGTACCATAGTAGACAGTAGACATAGTAGACATAGTAGACAAAGTCTGAAAAATTAGAACCGAAGCTACAAGATAGGTACATAAAATATATTGGTCGCTCCAAAAAGGCAGATTTTCTTATGCCAGGCTTCAAGGTATTTGACCTTTACATCAAGGGTAACTCAAGAGTGTGCTGTAGATCCTATTTTATTTCATATGCCCATCAGCGGTAAGTCCGACCCAGTAATGTGTTGCTGGTATTACCAGAGCCTGTCTGTAGTAGCTGGTATACGATTTGTTTGGTCAATCGCATGGTGCTATTATATACAATACCTACCCACATTGCATATGCAATATGCACACCGACGTCTTGCAGAGTTGTTTGCACCGTGCAGTGACAGTGAACACTCTGTCCGTGGGTTCGTGGCTTTCGTCCCAAAGCCCAGAGGCGAGCCCTATCCAATAACACAGTACTCTCCGCGGTGGAGCAGCTCCGATTAGGGCACTCGGCGCCCCTCCCCCTTCCCACCCTCTCCCTCTGAGCCCAGCTGACTGATTGGACCGCTTCCCTCCCCGCGAACCTAAGACGAACACTTTGAGCTACCACAGCCTCCCATTTCATAGCCGCTGAATACATAGATTCCAGGTGTGTGGGCGATAGGTACCGGGCCAGTTAGATTGTGACGCCCATTGTTTAGATGTATGAGTGACCAGTTACCGATTCACCGGCAGCACGGACGTCGGACATCTGATGGCCAAGTGGGAGCGTTTCAATAGCAGCAATTTCTCTGAAGCAATGTAAATACACATTGGTCTGAGTGCAAAGCTGTATGGGAACTCCATTGACAGTAATGACGCACAGCTAATGCCTGATGACGTGCGTGCTAAAAGAATAACAACTAATCGAGTTTATGACAAGATTATCGTAGCGACATTTGTTGATGATCGTCCATCCACTCAGGATTGAGGCCATTTTTCGGAACGTGGCACGGGATAACCCATGCTCAAAACGCGTAACATTTGCATCAGTTGACTCTTGACATGTTCCAATGCAGCTAGGGGTGCTGGCACCAATCAAAGTCCGAAGTTGACGTCCAGCCCCCTCCCCGCCCTGGCCTCTCCAGCCCCATGATGACGCTTCTGTTGAATAAGCATGGCCGAACGACGCTCGTGGCGCCGCCGGCCGTCCCACCAGACGCCGACAGAGCTGCACTCGTCCGACCACCTCCAGTATAAACTTGGCGTGCAGCCGGTGCGGAGCACTCTGCCCCCGGCCGTCTGAGCTCAACTCTGACATGGTATCCAGTTGGCTCCTCCTGTCCGCTGCGGCGCTGCTGCTGGTGTCGCCATCGACGGCGTCCTCTGCAAGCGGCGCCGTCCAGGACATCATCGAGCAGCTCTCGACGGGCTGTCGTGCCGGCATCGACGACTCGGCAGCCGTGGAGGAGATTCGGCTCGGCCAGGAGGAGATCAGCGAGATGGTCACGTCCATTCAGAAGCAGGCGGCGCAGGAGGCTGAGGAGTGTCCCAGCGGATGGACGCGACACAGAGACAGCTGCTACCTGATCCCGCTGTCCAAGTCGAGCTGGTACGAGGCGCAGCACCACTGCGCGGCGCTGGACCGGCGCGCGCGGCTCGCCACGATCTCTCCGTCGGCGGGCGACTTCACGGAGCAGCTGGTCGCCTCCACCAGAGGCAGCTACGGCGCCTGGATCGGCCTGTCGCGTCTGGAGCAGGCTGGGGAGTTCGGCTGGATTGACGGCGCGCGCCCGGTGGCCACGCGCTGGAACA